ACTCAGCTATTTAAGATTATTGAAAGCATTGGTAACGTACGGCACGAGATGTTTCAAACAACCATCTACCATGGAACTAGAAGTCGCATCAGAAATCTGTTCAAACAAGTAATGGAATGTATCTAGGAACTGTAAGAGACTGCAGTAGACACAGTTGGTTGACCCCGATGTCAGTTCCCGAGATTTGTCGTAACTTGCACTATCATGTACATAATGTACATCTGAAATTACTCAATGTTGAAGATTCGGTTTTAAGTTTTGGGTTTTTTTTCACCTCCTCATTTAGTTTCGACATTATTTTTTTCCAAAAAACTTTCCTTCAGTAGCCTCCTAGTTTTCAACGTTCCAATCCTGAACAGACGAAACAACCTATGATACATACTATAATTTTAAGTTACATTGAAAGTTGTTATTGACATATGTTTTTGTTTTGCACAATCTTGGTAACTGGGTAGTAGAGACATGGAACACGTTTCCCAGTTATGTTGTAAATTCACCGTGGGTCGATAGTTTTAAACGTACTTGAAATAAATATTAAGTCAACCGCCCCTCTATCACTAGCATGCTGAATAAACACTACTATAAGTAACATACATAATCTAATTATCAAACTACATCACTAAACGTTTTGAAGAAGCTTTTTTTACCTGTAAGTACTATATCGTTAATAACACATTAATAACTAACACTACTGTTACAAACATTAGTGTGACCCTGTACCGCTCTCTGAAGCGTGACAATGTTAGGTGCAAACAAGCGACATTGCAAAACAAGTGAGTCCCTGGGGAAATGGCACGGTCTGAACATGTCGCTAAACTAGAGTTGTATGTCTTGTACGAAAATGTAGTCCATGTCCTTAAATAGACTCACACCTCTCTTTACTCTGGGGTGGCAAGATTTCCCGAACGCCGATAACATACAATTACATCTTGTTACCATGTACAAGTCATATACTATAGGAATAGATAAGATTTATCTCCATAACGAGGAACAGACACCAAATTCCCATATGACTACGTTTTACAATAGTTTGTCGCCAAAACCCACGAAAAAAGTGATTTATAATCATGCTGATAAATTGAGGAGAGAAAATGTGATTTTTACAACATATCTGTAATGTTAGCCTTTATTGCTGAGGCGGGATTGTTTGCTGAAGCAATACCTGTGAAGACGATTGTATGGTCTTAACCAGAGACATGATAAACACTCCTATAGGAATACACGGCAAATGTCCAGACCAATTTTCTTAACACAGTAGATTATATAGGTACGACAATAATGTTTCTGTATACGACAACAATAAACATCACCAAATGTAGAATTCACACCACACTCCGAATTGCACAGATAAGGTTTACAGCTATTCGGAACATATCGGAGCGTATTCAGGGGAGTGGTATCAAGTCATGCTCTTTTTCTTGAATATAAATCGACTTTAACGATTCTGTTTACCACTGAAGCTCCGGACGTGCAATTTTCTTTTTGACTGTCTCTCATCCTCTTGGGAGACACGCCGCATGTGAATGAATTAGAGGCGCACGTGACGAGACATGCTGAACAAAAGTCCATCCCCCGTTACGAGAGTTGTCAGAGTACGAGAGAGCGTGTTAAAATATCAGCAGCAATATTTAGTCCGAGATAAACGACAATATTACATGCAAATTTTTAAACGAACGTACCTTTGATTATACTCTCGTACGACGTAAATGCATTAAGCACTTTTTTTTCTCAGAACATCGACATACAACTGACAACTAAGCCGACATCCTGTAAACTTTCGCACATTGTATGTTATCGTATCTAACTTCTGCTGGTACCCACCCTATCATTTATTCAACACATTATCAACGGATACCCGCATTTCCCAATGGTGAGCAAAGGTATTTATCTGAAGCAGGCTTTTAAGGAAGACTAGAAATTTCTAGGAAAGTGGTATGAAAGTGAAAAACGAATGTGTAATTTTGAGCAGGATAACTTTTTTAATCGCCCTTAGCTGTCGTTTTAAGGAGAACGATAGTCTGTATTGCTGGTTCAGCTTAACCCTGATATTGATCGTTCAGTATCAATGAACATCAAATGTTTGTTTGTAACACACTGTCTGTGATTATTTGAATTAACAACACGCACCCGAACGAATTATTAGTTGTTTGGATGGTAACAGGTTTCCGTCTATTCGTCCTATTTCTAGGTATTGCCTCACCGACGAACGTCCGTATTCTGGCGACGTTTATGAAAGGGATGATTAGTTAAAACTTGTTGACGTTCTGTTCTATGCGTTCATCTTATTGTCCTGTCGTTTACCTACAAGTTGTTTATTTACAGCAATGTTAACACAGTCTTTACATTGACACGTTAACATGATCCAGTCTGTTTTTTTACTGTTAATCTATTCAGTGTTTTTTCAGTGCCTGATATGTTATACTATGTTTGTTTACGACAGTATGTAAACCTAAATCATGATGTGAACAATATGAGCTGACCACATACACTTCATTCAAAGCGCATTTCCTTTACAATTTTTCACCATCAACGTTTTGGAAAAAACGTACAGTGATGAACATTGTGCTTTATCGTCACAAATTTCTTTTCATTTGACAACTTGGATAACTTCGAGTCTGTAAATTTCTGTCGTCGTCCACACACAAGAGGAAAAAATCACCGTTTAGAACCAGAAGAACATTACTTCATTTCGTTCGTGCACATTGCACATTTCTTATCATTTCTATCCTTTCATCACTGACATTTTTTAGAAGACACTCTCACTGCGTCTAAATCGACGTTGTCGTAAACAGTAGAATTAAACATTGTGTATATCTGACGTGTTTGTGCGCTGTTCATCAATGCGTGCTACACGTTTTCATGTTTTATCTTCATTTACATGTCAACAGATCTAGATATCGACATCTATAAACGATTCTAATACTTGTTACAGAGATACCTGTGGGTTTATATACTGATAAATCGTCTCGTGCGGTTTGACAGATATTGGTCATTAATCCACGGAAATTATCTTCCTAGAATCGATAGTTTATCCAATATAATGAGAATTCGTTGGGACGATCGACTTTCGTCCAAAACAAAATAGTATCATGGCTCTGTCATAATAGCTGTACGTTATGTTGAAAACCAATTGGAGCAATGTCGTGCCGCAATACCATCACAGCAAAAGCAACCTAATTATGCTTTAATTAACAGGGAAAGTTCATTTGTGCATTTCCTTTCCTAGTACCAAATCGTTATACTTTATGTCAGTCTGTAGATTTTAACTAAATCCACCAGGATTAGAGAATTCAGTCGAAATGAATTTTGAAGCATTGCCGACTGTATAGAATAACAAACGTCATTAAAACACACGGAAATACGTTCCCCATGTTCTATGGATGCTTCCATTGTCCGAATGTCACACAACAGTACACAAGAATATTCACAGTCAAATAAAGCATGTTATCTACTGTTCTACTCATATTTCGATGATAATTCAGTATATCTGAATATAAACAAATGGCGACACAGTACATGTATATCTGTAGTAATGACAAGTCTATTTTTAGTAATCAAAATATTACCTATATAACATAGAGTATTACATTATGTCAAACTGACACTAGACAGATATCACGTGATACCATTTTATATCAGACTCATCGATATGATAGTGGTGTTTATAACAGTGTCATAAATACTAGCCTATCACATGACGTACATGTGATATCATGATGACATCACGTGCTATAAGACACTCTGGAATGTCACCATTGCTTTGATATCTAGACATCTGTGATGGTTATATACAGGTAGTTTGTACGTATTTTTTTCGAAATTGAAATACAAGTCACTTTCTTCCTGTAAAGCATGGGATATTTCTCACTTTGTATAGTGGCTGCTACAGGCGGATCGATGTGTCGTACTATACCCACTATAACAGAGTCTACTATCGGCAGTTTCGCACCATTTACCTCATCAGTGTCTGTACATAGAGAAGTAGAAAGTCAACAACTGATTGCCTTGTCACACCAGCACGAGCGTTAATTTTTACCGTTGTTGCCGAACGCTGACCTACGAAAACGACTAGAACTGATTTTGTTCAGGGTACAATTCAAAGCTGTAACAAGTTCTCGGTTCCATGTGTCAGATGACATTTCAAACAATAAACAAAACCACAAGAACAACAAGGTTTGTACAAAGCGTTAGCAGGACCCCGTAGGTTTTCAATCCACTTGCCACCGGCGTCTTTATAGAAATTTCGTTTGGGCATGAAAAAGAAAAACCAAAACAAAACATGAACTACAAAGGTAGTGCGAATTCATTGTACCTTCTGCCCCATTGGTTGAGTACAAGAGTCGACTAACACAGAATCTCATCCTTTTTTTTTTTTTTTTTGTTTGTTTTTTGTTTTTTGTTTTTTTTTTTGTTTTTGTTTTTCTGACGACTCATTTCATTCTGACGTCTCTCTTGAATATTACATTTGGCCTCAGTAATGGACGTAAGCCGTTCGCCGAAGTGAGGAATGTCTTAAAGCACTATATGGAATGCACAAGAACTGGCTCGCCTGTTGTCAGGTTATGTCATTCCAGTGTGATGACACTATAAAAATGTCCTGAAATGGTTCCATCATCCGTAAACACCTTCTTCATATGACCCTGGCTGTTGGTGTCTTATCAGACGATAGTCGTTCAATGACCGTAGCTTTTGGTGTTTCCTATACATCAGTCTTCATCAAACGCGAATAAACACACTCAGAGGTAATAAAACAGCTGATATGTGGGCAAAGAAATTAAAATATAGTGTTACTGAAAATTATCGTCAGCTATCTATTCAAATCTATTTAATCTGCTACATACATTTAGATGAACACCGTCATAGTATCGTTTTCTGAGCTGTTAGGAAATCCAAGTTCGACACGAAAGGTGACATTGGTATTGCAGTAATCGTCCCGCTAGAGGCGCGCTGCTCGCCGTCCTGCACCGCCGTAGTTTGTATCCAGCTGTGTAGTCATTGAGCCTGATAGTACCAGAGCTTGTTCTCACTCTCACCTCGTTCCCTGTGCCTTATAGTGCGGATACTGTTTGTGGGAGGAGGATAATGGCGGATGGGCAACATGCCACGCCCTCACCTACGGGCAAAACAGTTGTGATAGGGATGGACGGCAGCGACAATTCCAGGTTTGCGCTTCAATGTAAGTACTCAGCGTTGAGCATACCTGAACTTAAACGTTTATCAGTGGTTCACGGGGGTTTTGTTTTTTACCTTTAGTATTTCTATAGTCATTATTCCAGAAAGTTGTTCTGAATTTGTGATGTATTGGCAGCTGGACAGTACGGAGATAATGGATCTACCAGGGTCTACCAACATAAGTTAATGTAACAGGTGTGCTGGGAAATAACAACTTCCTTCACACGCTTGTTTGTCTTATAGTCAGCTTACGATCGGTACCATACTAGAGTCAGGTGTGATTACAGAACAATGAGCGGGCTGGTCCGCTTTATTCTGTTATAGTGATGCATGTTCTTCACAGTAACTAAGAAAGTGACACAGTAAGACGATAATAAAAACACTTTGAATACTGAAAAAAACACATAGCTCACTGCATTGCGAACTTTAACAATCAAGCGAAATGTAGGTAATTGAGAATTTTTTACATTTTTTTTTACTGGAGAATCTAACAAATACTTTTTGGCTCTCATTGCGTACCTGCAGAGGTAGTGTCGAAGCTGAAAAAAATGACAACACACCACAAGGAAACATCCGATAACACACCATACCGAAACATTTGACAACACACCACACCGAAACATTTGACAAATTTGACAACACACTGCACGGAAACTTTCGACAACACACCACACCGAAACATTTGACAACATACCACATGGAAACATCCGAAAATACACCACACAGATACATCTGACAACACACCAAATGAAAATATCCGACAACACACCACACGGAAACATCTGACAACATCTGACACGGGTACATAGACATCATAGCACACGGAAACATCCGACAACACATACACGGAAACATTCGACAACATACCACACAGATACATCTGACAACACACCAAACGAAAATAGCCGACAACACATCACACGGAAACATTCGGCAACACAACATACGTATACATCCGACAACACACCACACTGAAACATCCGACAACACACCACACTGAAACATCCGACAACACACCACACGGAAACATCCGACAACACACCACACGGAAACAAGATTTTAAGATATTAAAATATTTATAACTGAGTACATTTCACACGCGACCAAACAGTTGTAACAAGTAAGAATAGGTTCAAGTATATGTATAATAAATACTTGGTAATTACGTAAAGACGAGTTTGACGAGCTATAATCAGTGCTTGAAATTTCTCGAGTCACGAAAATCATATGTACAATAACCAAAGGTCATAGTTAAGACATTTAAGAAAGCACACGCTATTGTTCTGTAACAAAGCTTACGGATTCCTAAAAGAGAAATCTGACTTATTTATTATGTTTTTGCGTCATAACGCACACACGACATACACAAATACAAAAAATAACTCTTAAGTAAAGCACGAAGCAGTATAATTATACCAAGACGACGCCTCGTTTTTGTGCTATAGACCAATAACATAAAAACGTTTTAAAGATTTCCTTACATCCCTATAACCTGATCACAAAATGCAATTGTTTTAACATCTATTAAGGGTTCTTTTCTGTTTATTTTTAACACAGACTTATCGGCCATTCAAAATTGACGTAACACAATTAACGTCGATTTTAGTGTTATGTGGATATAACATAAAATGTTAATAGCAAAAAAAATGTTTCAGCTAGATCAACAGGAATTAGGGACGTACTACTGCAATCCATTATACTAGTATGTCGTTAAGACACGTAGACAACTATTGATTACAACGTCTCCCTTGTATAACCGTGAAATGAAACAAAATTTTCAGGACTGTGGTCGCGAAGTCCTCTAACATATAAAGCGTAGGACCAATATACCTCCGCCTTCTAGAAAGGTCCCTCTTCAGCCCGTCCTTCCTCTTATCTCATCTCCACTACAAAGCGTAGGGCCAATATACCTCCACCCTTCCAGAGGGGTCCGTCTTCAGCCCGTCCTTCCTTTTTATCTCATCGCCACTACGAAGCGTAGGACCAATATACCTCCACCCTTCCAGAGGGGTCCGTCTTCAGCCCGTCCTTCCCCTTATCTCATCTCCACTATAAAGGGTAGGGCCAATATACCTCCACCCTTCCAGAGGGTTCGTCTTAAGCCCGACCTTCCTCTTATCTCATAGCGACTACGAAGCGTAGGGCAATATACCTACGCCCTTCCAGAGGGGTCCGTCTTCAGCCCGTCCTTCCCCTTATCTCATCTCCACTATAAAGGGTAGGGCCAATATACCTCCACCCTTCCAGAGGGTTCGTCTTAAGCCTGACCTTCCTCTTATCTCATAGCCACTACAAAGCGCAGGGCCAATATACCTCCGCCCTTCCAGAGGGTTCGTCTAAGGCCCGACCTTCTTGTTATCTCATCGCCACTACAAAGCGTAGGGCCAATATACCTCCGCCCTTCCAGAGGGGTTCGTCTTAGGCCCGTCCTTCCTCTTATCTCATCGCCACTACAAAGCGTAGGGCCAATATACCTCCGCCCTTCCAGAGGGGTTCGTCTTAGGCCCGTCCTTCCTCTTGTCTCATAGCCACTACAAAGCGTAGGACCAATATACCTCCGCCCTTCCAGAGGGTTCGTCTTAGGCCCGTCCTTCCTCTTATATCGTAGCCACTACAAAGCGTAGGACCAATATACCTCCGCCATTCCAGAGGGTTCGTCTTAGGCCCGTCCTTCCTCTTATCTCATCGCCACTACTAAGCGTAGGACCAATATACCTCCGCCCTTCCAGAGGGTTCGTCTTAGGCCCGTCCTTCCTCTTATCTCGTAGCCACTACAAAGCGTAGGACCAATATACCTCCGCCCTTCCAGAGGGTTCGTCTAAGGCCCGTCCTTCCTCTTATCTCATCGCCACTACTAAGCGTAGGACCAATATACCTCCGCCCTTCCAGAGGGGTCTGTCTTCAGTCAGACCTTCCTCTTATCTAATAGCCACTACAAAGCGTAGGACCAATATACCTCCGCCCTTCCAGAGGGGTCCGTCTTCAGCCCGTCCTTCCTTTTTATCTCATCGCCAGTTTCATTTAACAAAATTCTTTCATCTGAAAGATTGGTTTTCTTTCATACCATGTTGTGATGATTATTATGTAGATGTAGTACAGTATATGAGCCATATATATATGATATTTATTACTGATATTATACACTGAATTGATAAATTCTGCAATTGGACCTTCGGGTTTGTTTGATTAAAATAAATGACTTTTTGGAAATCATTTAGTTTAAAGACTGATCACAGAAAATTGCCGACAGGTGACAGTCTAGGATTTGTAAAGATTTAGTTATCGTTATATCCCGGAGAAATAGAGGTAATTACTGTGCGCATTCAATTACGTAACCTATTGCAAAATTAGGTTCATGTATATAGGTTTCCCTATGTTTTTAATATTAATTCAGCTGTCAATGAAACAGATGATTGACAGGAGAGGAAAAGTCGAAACATTAGAGAACCAATAAGGATTTTTTTGTTGGTGACCAGCAGGCTCTTGTTAGATTTTCGTTACTGATGTAGATATTTATAGGGAGACCAGTGAATTATAGCAAAAAGAAAATTATACAAAAGAAGGAACCGGTAACTTTCTCGTTCCTGACAGTCAAACAAACTAACAGGTGTTTTGTCCCATACGACTGTGCTACACTGTAGTCTTTCTTCTTAATCCTCCCAGAAATCTCTGTAGTACCTAGTGATTTTTTCTTGGTTGATGTTGTGTATTTCATACCACGAAGATCTGTGGTTATATAATTTTTGTTAGATGATATTGTATATATTCCATCCATTCGGAACATCTTCGGTGTTATCATATACAACAAGTTTTGTATTGCAAAGTTTTTCTTGAGTGTTATATATATATATATATATATATATATATATATATGTATGTATACTTCGATAAAATGATATCAATAATTCATTAAGTGAAATCACTAATTCAAATTACTGATATCAATACATATACATTCACTGTTACCATTAAAAGAAGTGATAATATCACTACTTCGAATTAATGATATAAAAAAATTCAGAGTTATTGATGTCAATAACTCAAATTCGTGACATCATTAAGCAATTTAATGATGTCAATAATTCGATTTAATCATATTTGTAAATATTTATTGATATCAACAAGTATAATTATATCATAAATTCGAATTATTGATATCATATTTTGCAGTCAGATATCAAACTAAAACGGGCCCCCATAGTTTGATTAAAAAAGATCTACGTTATATAATAAATTGACAAATTCTTACGTGACATTTTGACCCCGACCCCCCACCCCCTCCAAAAACTTATGTAAAGCAGTGTCACTGTCGAGAGAGGGTTCCATTCAATACTCCTCTGTTTTTATCTTACGATTGGGAAAATCTCTGCTTTGACCTTTTGAACACCCTTGTTAAAATCACCTGTCAACATCTACACGCCGTCTTGACAAATTGTCGCTAAAACCAATAGTACGGTGATACACGATACAGAACTCCTGTAGTAAACCCGATTTAGAATCAAGAGCGTGAAATTTGTATCTTTACTGCGAATGTCTGACAAACGCACTTTTAGAGTGAATGGTGTACTGGATTTTCAAGAAAAAAAATGTGTACTGGGCGATTGGTGTCGGCTGTCTGGTGCTTTCCATCTGGGGAGCTCAGACACAAAGGACATTTAAAACGCTAACCGGAAGTACAGCGCGTGACGGCAATTGTCAATGTCGTTAAGAGGATGCCTTAAGTCACACCATAAAGTGCGTTACCACGCTAATGGAATGACAGTCATATAACGACCAGAGTTATTACGGTAGGGGCAGTCAAACAATAACCAGGGTTATTACGGTAAGGACAGTCAAACAACAACCAGGGTTATTACGGTAGGGACAGCCAAACAATATGCAGAGGTATTACGGTAAGGACAGTCAAACATTAACCAGAATTATTACGGTAATGACAGTCGAACAATAACCAGTTATTACGGTAGGGACGTCAAGTAATAACCAGGGTTATTACGGTAAGGGCAG